CACCCCGGCCCTGACACATAACCCACCTGGCTTTACCTCCTGTGGACACAGCCAGGGTGGGAGAGCTGCTAGAGACACAAGGTGCGAGGGCTGCAGGCTGGCTCATTTACTGCATGGCTACTGCTGTGCAGAACGGCAGGCTCTGAGAGGGTGCTTTTACCCTAAAGTCTTCCATCTTGGACTTGTGATAGCCCAAGGGTTGTGTTGGTTCAAGTGGCTGCTCTCTGCTCAGATTCTGTTTTTGTTCGTTTTTGTTATTTGAGACAGAGTCTGGCTACTTAATCCAGGCTGGATTTGAGCTCACTATGTAGCCCAGGCTGGCCCCCAACTCGCAGTGATCCTCCTGCCTCAGCCTCCAGAGTGCTGAGACGATAGGCGTGAGCCACGGAGCCTGGCTTCGGTTTCCTTTCTTGTCCCTAAATCCCTTCTCAAACGTGGACAGCCAAGATTAAGCAGCCCGTGTCCGTCTGTCCGTCCACCCATCACAGCGAGCGCCCGTGGGGTTGGCGCCCAGGGCACAGTCAGTCGGTGGGCGCGGGCCCGAGGGGGGGGGGGATCGCGGTCGGCGGGAAGAGCCTGCGTCCCTCCTCGGGCGGGGGCCTTTGCGCCTGGATGTTTTAGCCCTTCTCGGCCAAGCTCGGGAGGGGTCAGCACCAAGGGCAGAGGGGTTCGGATCTCGGCGGTCACCGAGCCGAGGTGGACGGGAGCGCAGGTGAGGCGACCACAGGAGGAAGGGGGAGGCTGCGGAAGAGCCGGCTCTGCGCCTGCCTTTCCGGGCCGCGCAGGCGTCAGAAACCTGCTCGGCTCGACGCGCCCCCTAGGGGCCCCGCCTGCCCTCCGTGGGTGACAAAAGCAGGAGCCACGCTGGGGTGCATTGCACAAGCGCAGCTGACCCCAGGCCACCTCACGGTCACCTTGGTCGCCGCCTAGTGCGGGTCTTCGCTGTTCTGACTCCCACTTGGCTACGGTGCCCCGGGCGCAGTGCCAGCTGGAGCGCAAATCCCAGGAGGAGGCTCTCGGGCCTGGAAAGTGCGTGGAAACCGCGTTTCCTCGGTGGCGGAGCACGCGTCGCTCATCTGCTGGAAATGCACGCCCAACCCAGCTGGTGGGTGTCGCAGATCAACCTGCACCAGGGCCTCCTCCAGATCCTGGGGAGCACCAGGGAACTAAGGAGGACGCTGTCCTGAGCCTCCAGGTCCCCTCCCTCGGGGGACACTGCATGAGATCAGGTGTGGGCTTCCAGGGGACTCTGACTTGAACCTCTTGCGGAGCTGTGTCTTGTTCATTGAAATGATCTGGGCTGTGTGTCCTATCTGTAAAGGAGTGAGAAATACTAGAAATACTTGTTGGTTTATTTATGTTTTTTTGTTCTTGTTTTGTTTTGTTTCTGAGATAGGGTCTTACTATGTAGCCCACGCTGGCCTCAAACTGGAAGCAGCTCTCCTGCCTCAGCCTCCTGAGTGCTGAGAATACCAGCATGCCCCACTGTGCCATGTGAAAAATTGTACTTGTTTGGGTGGGTGTGAGGAGTGCGTGAGACCTGCAAAGTGTTAGCATGAGCCCTTTCCCCGGGCACAGTGAGGAGGCGGTCAGCTGGCTGGGCCCTGTCTTTTCATTCCAGTTCTAGGCATTCAGACTTCCTGGCGGGGTACCAGGAAGAAAGGAGGAAGCAAAAGTGAACAAAGAAAAACTATTCTTTAAAGACAGGGTCTCACCGTGCAGCCCAGGATGGCCTTTAACTCACAACGAGCCTCCTGTCTCAACCTCCCAAATGCTAGGATTACAGGTATGTTACCATGCCTGGAAAAGAAGAAACTATTTTGTTGTGGGATTTTTTTTTTTGTTTGTTTGTTTGTTTGTTTGTATGGAGAATCAAACTCAGAATCTTGTGCTGTGGCACTGTGCTGCTGAGCTAGATCTCTGGCCCTGTTTTGTTTTATGAGACAGGGTTAAGGCTGGCCTTGAACTCATTATGTAGCCCATGCTGACCTTGAATTCAACCCTCTGCCTTGGGCTCTTGGAATTACTGGCATTTTCAACTACTTCTGGCTCCTGTTTTTGACTATTCTTAGATCTACCATGGACCAGGTGTATTGGCACATACATAATCTTTGGGAGGCTGAGGCAGGAAGATCCTCACAAGTTTGAGGCCAGCCTGGGCTACATAATGAGTTCAAGACTCTGTCTCACAAAACAAAACAAAACCCACTCTATCATGGAAGATACCATCCCTGTGCTTAAGGGTCCCACCTAGGTTTCCTGCTTAACCAGGAAATTTAGGCAAAGTGTCTGTGTGGTCCAGCAGAGCAGCCTCTAGCCCCGGGGGACACGGCCCTGTGAGACACAGCTCATGCCGGTGTCCAATGCTGAGTACTCAGTGGAGAGCTCTGCTGACCGCGCTTGGCTCCTCGGCCTTCACCAGCTGCCTGAGCGCCACTTGCCACTGTTTGAGGGGTCCCAGCAGGAACTGGGCTCCTTGTTCATTACCCCTGTGTCTTTGGGCAAGGTGACATTAAACGCTTCGAGCTTCAACTCCAGCATGTAAATACAGACAATGACATGACTCGTGGTGGTACACGCCTGCCATCCCAGCCACTCTGGAGGCTGAGGCAGGAGAATTGCAGCTCCAAAGCCAATTGGATTCTGTTTCAAAACAAAATTGAAAAAGAGCTGGGGCTGCAGCTCAGTATAGAGCACTTGCCCTGCACAGGTGAGCCCTGTGTTCAATCCCCTGTGCCTTGAAAATCAGGGGTGAGGATCAGGCTGGAGAATGTGTGGGGTGTGCCTCCCTCCCCAAGCCAGATGGCGAATGATCGGATGGGTCTGTCTTCATCCCAGCAGGGTCCAGACAGGGCTCCTAAGACTGGAGAGGGTGGAGGATATCCGTGTGCCCATCCCCTCTTTTCTGAGGTTCCAGGGAGCGGCCCCACTTCCAGGTTGCCTAGGCTGGACCGTACCAGAGCTGTGCCCTGTGCCCTTTTCCATGCAGGCTTGAGAGTGGCCGATGTCCTGAGCCAGGGTTCTGTGTCCCAGGTGAATGTGGGACTCGAACACAGGACTCCAGCCTGACCTTGACCGGGAACTGCTAAGAGTCTCTCAGGCTTAGAAGGGACTTGCCCGCCCAGCTGCCCTCCCCTCCCGCTCAGCAGTGCCAGCGGTGACTCATGTGCCCTTCTCAGACATGGCCCTGATGGGTGTGACCTCAGGGCACATTCCAGAATGAGGGCACAGCCCGGAATAGGGCCTGAGCCCTGCCACCCTCCCAACGTATTAATCACAAGTGGGTGGGGGGAGGAGGAGCCAGGAGGTGCTGGGAAAGGAAAGGGGAACCCTGAGAAGCCCTCCCCATGTGGCCACACCCCCAGGGGCCTGGCAGGGGAGCCCCGGGAGCCTGAGTGCCCCTGCAGACCCCTCCTGGGCAACGGCTGGGATCTGGATCATTGTGAACGGCAGTGCAGGGAGACTCGGAAAAGAGGCCCAGGCGGCCAGGGGCGTGGAGGCTCCCCAAGGAGCCCAGACTTGGAGGAGGAGCAGGTGCCAGGCTGATGTCTGGCCCAGGAATCTAGGCCGAGGCTGTGCATGCGCCACCACCAGAATACAGGGTCACCTGGCCAGGCGTCAGCAGCCCCGGGGTCAGGGTGCGTGATCAGCTGATGGCGTGGAGCTGCATCCAGGTCCACTGGGCTCCATGCTGCTTGGCCTGGAGTTGGGGTTCGTGCATGTGTGTGTGTATATGTGAGCATGTGTCACACTAGGCCGGACAGCAGGGTATGGGCCTCAGGAATCTTGGCTCTTCCCCGCCCCTGCAGCAATGTGGCCCCAGCGAGTCCTTGTGCCTGTGTCAGTGTCCCACCCACAGATGAAGCAGACAAGAGCAGGTGTCCAGCGCCTGTCATGCAGCAAGCCCTCACCTGGGCTGTGCCCTAAGGGGACAGGCATGGGAAGGCCACTGCCACAGAGTGTGAATTGCTGCCCCCTTGCTGGCCGGGTCCCTGCTCTCTGGACCCAGTGTCCAGGGGATGACCTCAGACTGTGTGGCAGCTGGCAGGACAATGGAGCGGAGTGTCCTGGGAGGCCAGGGCTGCAGGGGAGGCAGAGGGTGGCAGAGGCCCAGCTGCCCTCCATGGGGGCCCTTCAGGCTGGAGACAGCAGGGCTGGAATAGGCTGGGCAGGGAGAAGAGGGCTGGGGACCGAGGGGGCGAGAGCACCCATGGGACATGAGAAGAGGAGGGGGACCTCGTGTTCGGGGTGTGCAGAGGGCCTGGGGGCCTTGAAGAGGCCATGAGCACTGGGGTTGCCACAGGCATCAACTCAGGACCAGGTTGCTTCTTGGGGTTCTCAGCCTCCCTGGGGCCATAAGGCTGAACCCCTAAGTCTCTGCAAAGTGCTTTACAGGTAAGGAGACCGAGGCCCACAGAAACCCTGTTGAAACAACAACAAAATCTTGCAATGATCCTCCTGCTTCAGCCTCCCCAGTGCTAGGGTGACAGGTGTGTGCCACCCCGTCCAGCTCCCCGCCTGCTCGTCTGGCAGGTGAGAGGGGCTGGGCTGGGCTGGACAAGGCCTGGATTCCTCCTTTGGGCAGTGGCCTGGAACCTAGGGAGGGACATTCCTTGTGAGTGACACATGAGCTGTGAGTGTGGTGGACGCCGCCATGGGCCGAGAGGCCCAGGCGCTGCTGCTGTAGCACCCCGGGAGGCTGGCCCCAGGCGGGAGTCACAGCTGGCAGAGGCTGTGCCTGGCCACGGTGGCATCTCCTTCACCTCGCACCTCTGAACAGAACCTAGGCCATCATTGGTGGCTATGGAGACAGGTCCTCACGCGGAAGGATCCCAAGGTGACGAATCTGGTCACCTGGGCCTAAGCCAGGTGGCTCAGCAGCAGGCTGGACCTCCACAGTGTCCCTCCACCATCCAGATCTTCTCTCCTGAAAGGTCACCAGAGCAGAGGCTGCCACCTGCCCACCCTCCAGCCCCAGTGAATCACATGGAAGACAGAGCCATTGATGCTGGAGCTTTTAATGAGCAGCTTCCTCCTTACACTGAGGAAGGGGGGGGGGTGAGGAGCGCCAAACTGTGGCCTTCCTGAGCTCTGGGGGTGCTGGATGGGGCAAAGGGCTGGGGAGCGTATTTTGGGTCAGATACCGAGTTGACAGGAATTCCCAAATCCTCTGCTGAGAGGCCCACGCAAGAGTTTGGAAACACAAAAGAAGCCACCAGGAGGCTGCTGGCCCCTTTGCTGTGCGGCTGAGCCCCACCTGCACCTCCTCCCAGGTTGCTGCGCTGCAGCGCGGCCGCCAGGTGGAAGCAGAGAGCAGCCTTCCTCCTTCCATCCCCGGGCTGCGATTCCTCCATTACCCCTCCCTCTAGCCCTCCGGTACCGACTGGGGTCGCCTCCCACCCTTGCAAGCCCATCACCCACCCGATGGTTCCGCGGCCCAGGGAAACCTGGGGACCAGGGCTCTGTTGCAGGCTTAGGGAGCTGGGCAGTGACAGCTCTCCAATGTCCCCCTGCCCAGCGGCACCCAGGAAGTATTCATCCCCTGACCTGCACAGCCCCTGCTCAGGCAGCCAGGAGGTGGTGGGCACCGCGTCCCTCCCATAAGCCAAGCCCCGCTGTGGCCCGAGTCCTCTGCTCCCGGCCAGCCAGCCAGCCATCTCTGGAGCCCAGGCTGGGGAGCCGGGGAGGCAGAGGCCTGGTGGTCAGCAGCAGCCCTCAAGTGTCTGGTGACTTCTCCTGTGTCCCCCTCAGCTGGAAAAGAAACACTGACCCCACAGACTAAAGGTGGTTCCCAGCCCCTTGGTGGACCAGTGTCCCTGAGGCCTGCAGCTGTCTCATCCGATCTCCCCGGGTCTGTGACCCTGGGCGTGCAGGGTGGTGGGGTGGGAGAGGCGGGGCCGGTGGCGGCCTCAGTGCAGGCCCGGGAACTCCTTGAGGACGTCACAAGTCTTCTTGTGCAAGACCTCGCGGAGCTTCCTGACCCGCCGGGCACCCGAGGGGCCCACGAAGCTGTCAGGCCGCAGCATGGCCATGCCGCCCTCCACCTCGCCCATGATGATCAGTGGCGTGTCGCCCACCGTCACGTTGGGGCACGGGCAGGCCCAGTCGACCTGCAGCAGGGTGACCTCCAGCGGCTCCCGGCCCAGGAACTTGAGGCCCATCTTCTCGTCCTTGAGGACCTCGTCCACGGTCACCAGGGCGCGGCCCATGTCAGGCTCCTCGGTCAACTCCGAGACCCGGCCCAGGATGACGAAGTCGCTGCGGCAGAAGCTGGTGACCAGTTTCTGGCGCGGCTTGCAGGGGGGACAGCGCTGGTTCCCCCGGGGGAAGGGGCAGGACTCCTCGCAGGCCTCGCGGCTCTGGAAGTTGTTCCCGTTGCCATCGCAGCCGCCGTACACAAAGGACTGGCACTGGCCGGTCTGGCTGTTGTAGGCCCAGCGCGGCGCGTAGGCCCTGCAGGGGCCCTGCAGGGCGGGCAGGCTGCACACGGCCAGCGGGCCCCGCATGCAGGCCAGCGCGCACGCCTCGTAGGTCTCGAAGTGGTTCAGGTTGCGGTGGCAGTGGCCGAAGGTGAAGGTCAGGCAGCTGTTGGTCTGGGGGTCGAAGTGCCAGCGCGTCTGCTCCTCACCGCAGTCTTCGCTGTCGGGTGGCTTCAGGCACTCGGCCGCCGGGAAGGCTGTGCCGTTGGGGCCACTGCTCTCAGACGGGGCGGCCGCCGGGCTGCCCCTGACCACCGACAGTGGGAAGTCGGCTCGCAGGACCCCGGCGGTGTTCCGGGCGGTGCAGGTGTAGATGCCGGCGTCCTGGGGCTGCGCGTTGTAGATGACCAGCTGCGCGATGTTGGTGACCACCACATTGCCCCGCACGTGGTTGGGCCCCATGACCACATTCTCCCTGTCCTCCAGCTGCTTCTCCCAGGTGATCTCGGGCCGTGGCCGGCCCGCCACGTCGCACAGGAAGCTCACCGTCTCGCCCACGGTCACTGACTGGTGCGCCGGGTGGTTGAGCAGGGCCGGGGCCGCCAGGTCTAGCCCAGGGGTCTCCGGGGAGGCCGTGGTGGGGTGCACGGTGGTCTCCGGTGGTGGGGGGCTGGTGTTGGGCCAGGTGAAGTGGTAGCGGCAGGTGACGACGGCCAGCGTGATGCCCTTGGAGCAGGCCTCCGCGTCCATGTAGCAGCGGTTGTAGTAGGTGAGGCCATCCGAGGCGCAGGTGAAGCTGGGCTCCTTCTCGCAGCGGTCTTTGCACTTGCACACGGGCTGCCCGTCCCAGATGTCGCATTCTGAACCCTGCTGCGGGCACATGAAGTGGTCGCACGTGGCCTCCTTGGGCATCCCCACTGGGCCCTTCCTGCCCCGCACATCCATGTAGCGGGCCGCCACGCAGCTCCTGGTCCCGCACACGTTGGGGCAGCATTTCTCATAGGTCTCACACTCCTGAAAGAGCCACGGGAGGAGAGAGAGAGCTGGGACTGCGGGGCGGAGGGAAGGGGCGGCAGCTTTCCCACCCGGTCCCACCCCCAGGGAGGGACCTGCAGGCTGAGCAGAGCAGACCCTTGCGTTCCATAAGCCCTGACACCTGTCCCCTGCTGTATTACCACAAGCCAGGGATGACTTTATGGGGAACCACAGAAAGGTTAAGCAACTTGGCCAAGGTCATATGGCTACACAGACCCTCAAGGGTTTGTATTCATTTATTTTTTGAGATGTAGTTTTTTGATATGTAGTTCAGGTTGGCCTCAAACTCGGAGCCATCCTCCTGCCTCAGCCTCCTGAGTGCTGGGGTTACAGGCGTGCACCACCACGCCCTCCTCTGAAAGAAGATGTTTTCTTACCACCAGGTGACAGCATGCTGCAGCAGAGAAGTGACACCAGGTCACGCAGACAGGCTGTGGCAGGAGAAGGCTTCAAGCTCCCCAGAGTGCTTCCCTACGCGATGGCTGCCCAGGAAGGTTGGGACTTGCAAAGGGAGGCGGCCCCTGGGTCTTTTCTCCATCAATCAAAGAGGTCACCCCTGAGACAGATGTCACCCACATCTGTCCTGCCCTCAAGGAAACCAGCACCGACATCAGGACCCATTAGATCCAGGGCGCCAGAACTTGTGTTCTGCACCAAACCCCAGCGCCCAGCTCCGTGAGGGACATTTCAGGGAGAAAACAACAAAACAGCTCCTCATGTGGCAAAGACGAGTCCTCCCGCCAGGCCGTAATCTCCTCTGATTTCTGTGGAGTCCCATAAGGCATTAGTTTAATTCCTTGAAATTAGCAGCGTGCTCCTGGGGCCGACACAAACAGGGATTTCACGTGGTGTTTTCAACAATAGTGTGTCGTGCCCGCTGGGCAGGCAGGCGGCTCCCTAATCCTTACCAGGTAGTAACTCCGGTGTGCTGCTCCCCGGGGGCCGGCCTCTTGTCCTTCCGACTTTTATTCCAGCCTCTCTGACATTCCACATCAGCTAAGAGGGGGAAGGCGCCCCCGCCCCGGCGTGTGAGCTGCCTATTTCCCTTGTTTACTGTTCCCCCGCTTTGGGCTCAGAATGGGGACTTTGTTTTGCAGCCCTTGGTTGGCATCAGCTTGGAGGTCACCCCAGGGGAGGCTTTGAGACAGGGATCCGAGGTGGGGGCTAAGGCGAGAGACCCACGGGGCTGAGGAGGGCGGCCTGAGGGTTACCCTGCTCCCTGGGACACTATGGGCAGGAAACTCCCTGCGGCCCAGTGGCCCATGAACAGCTGGGCCCTTGGGATCCTTGGAGGAATTCTGCTTCCAGAACCATGATGTGCCCACAAGTGACCCTTGTATCCTCAGCCCACACAGGTGCCTTCTCCCGGACCCCCACCCCCAGCCAGGGTCCTGCTGTCTCCACGCCTACCCTTGTTTTTCAGGCCAATCTGTGCTGGTGAAACAGGCTTCCCACACACAGGGCCAGCTGGCGGTGTGACCCTGGCTCTTGGGGACGGCCACTGGTCCACCCTGCTCTCTGGCTGCTTTTACCCAGTACCAGCAGTGCCCACCAGCAGCATCGGTCCTGTGAGGCCTGAGGCATCCCCAAGGCACTGGGAGGCAGAGCCCAGGCAGCCCCAGGCTGGCCTGTGGATGACCAGAGGGTCTCTGGTACACCCTGTGATGCCTAGGACACTGTCCCACCCTCAAAGCTGGCCAGGCTGGAGGCAGCCACACCCAGAATGCAGTGAACAGGGATGGCTTTGGGGTCACCTCAGCAGTGGGTGGTGTGTGCCCCAGAGCCAGCTCTGCCTACTCAGCGTCCTGCCGAGGACTCTGATGGCTGCACAGTCCCCTTCCTGCTTGATGACACCCTCCTTGTCTGCTCAGAGCATCTCCACTTGCCCTGCTCCTCAGCCCTGGCTCAGGGGCCAAACCCAGAGGTCGTGACCAGAGGCAGAAAAAATCTCAGCACCATCCCTGGGCAGCCTCGGGCCCCTGGCCCACCTGTCCCTCACCAACTGTGGGGTGGCTCTGGGCGTCCATCCTCTCACCTGTGAGCGGGTGGCCAGCTGATGCCCTCTGAGCAGGCATCTGTGCCAGTTCACAAACATGTCTGACCTGGGGCTGGCTCAGGGCCACCCTGGGCCAGCAGGAGGGGTCCCGAACTTCCTGGCTCAGATAAACGTGACCACCACAGGGGCTCCTTCCTGTCCTCAGCATTGGTGTGCAGCATGGGGCCCTGCTCACCTCGGGGTGCTGGGGGCCTGTGTCCCACTACATCCTGGAGGGCACAGGCAGGGTGTCTGAGCCTGCTTCCTGTCACACATCCCAGGCTCTGAGCCCCTACTCACCTGGTCCGCCTCGCACTCCCGCTTGCAGGTGCTCTGCGCATCCACCCAGAGGTTGGGGTTCATGTCGTTGGGGCAGATGCCCGCGTGGGAATAGCGGATGGGTGGCAGTGCCAGGCCTGGCAGGAGCACCCCAAGTAGCAGCAGCAGGAGCCGCAGCCCGCAGTGGGACCAGAATGGGTGGCATCCCAGGACCCCCATGGTCCAGATGATCAGCGGTGGCCAGAAGCCTCCCCTGAGAGGACACAGGGGTTGGGACCCACAGTCCCCTCCTCTTCCTTCTCCTCCTCCTGGGGCCGGGACACCTGCCCTCCTCACCCCGCAGGTCTCCCCGCTAAGGCTAGGGCCGCTGCAGGGCTGCTGAGGCTGCTCCCAGAGCAGCTGAGCAGAGCAGCTGCAGATGAAAGAAAGGTCTCCCAGGGAAGGCGACCCGGCCTCCTCAGCGTGCAGGGACCGGGCCGCCGCGGGGGCCGAGCCCGGGTTTATATCCTGGGCGCGCCACCCGACTGGGAGCCAGCTAACCTGACGCTGTCACCCCCGGCGGGCCGCGGCGCCTCTGTCCCTGGCCGAGCGCAGACTTAGTGCAGAAGGGGGAAAGCTGGAAGCAGTTTCCGCAGCAGCGTATCTGGCACGGTGGGACACCTGCTTGTTTTTGACTCCGGGAGGCCTTTAACCCCTTCAAGGGCCAGAAAAGGCATGTGCGCTGGGGGGCTGGCTTGGGACGGAGACACACGCTCACTTAAAGGAGGGTTTGTTTGCCTTTCCCCACCTCCTCGGCCCGCGCCCCCTCCTCCCGTGGCCACCTCGAAAGAACACACAATCGCTTGTTACGAGGAGGGACCTGAGCAGCCGGCGGGGCAGCGTCGCCCAGCTCCATGGTACATTTGAGAGCAAAAGACATGGAAAAACAAGTTCACGGCCATTGCAGGGCGGGCCTGGGAGCGCGGGCCATGTAAACTGACTCCCGCCGGCCGCCGGCTGCCTGCCCTGCCCGGCGGGCAGCGCGTCCTCCCGCGGGTTTGCGCCTGCCCCTGCCCTGCCTCCTAGTCTTGGCTTCCAACTTCGGGGCGGTTTCCCCATCCCTCCAGAGAACGGAGCAGATCTGCTGTGCTCTCCACCACGGGCCGATTGTCACATTCCTGCTCCGCCATGGAACCCTCGCAGCTCCCCAAAGCCAGGCAGTGACACAGCGAGCGGCCTTGCTCCTGGCCACGGGGCCTCCGCTCAAGGAGGCTGCTGCACTCCTGTTTGTTTTTATTTTTTAATATGTTTTGGTAGTCCTGGGAGTGGGTACCGGGAGTGGGGAGCCAGCTATCACCCCTTCCCCGCCCCCCTCACTTTTTCCCCCCTCAAAACAAAGTTTTTCTCTCTCTGTCTCTTTTTTTTTGAGGCAGAATCTCACTATGTAGCTGAGGCTGGCCTTGAACTCACAGAGATCCTCCTGCCTCAGCCTTTTGAGTACTGGGACTACAGGTGGGCTCCACCGAGCTCCAGTGAGGTCCCTCTGGGTGGAGGCTCTATCCTGGTCTCAGCTGGCTGCCTCCACTGCAGGGAGGAGGTCTATGGTGGGGGGCAAGTGTTGTAGAAAGGTCACAGCCAGCAGCCATGGTGGCACAGTGGCTGGCAGCACAGTGCCGGCCTCCTTTCCTCCCCGCAGCGACTCTGCCTCCATTTTAGATTTGAGAGCAGGATGCAGAGCCAGGCTGAGCCCCCATCCTGGGACGCACAGCTCTGCAACCCCACCATGAGTGCAGAAGGTGGGCACCAGCTCGATGCAGGGTGGAGTGGGGGGAGGGTGGCCGTGCCTCCAGAGCCGCCCCCCCTCCACCTACTGCCAGCGGGGCCAAGAGCAGCCCCAAGTCTGGTTTTTATAGCACGGACCAGGCATGTTTGAAAATTGGGGGTGTGTTTTTGTGGAGGGGCTGGGAAGAGAGCCAGAAGCTGCCAGGGGCCAGAGGGTGATCCCCCATTCGGCAGGAAAGGGCCTCTCTCCCAGAAAGGCCTCCGAGCAGCCAACAGGCTGAGTCTGTTTGTGTTGGCCACTCGGTGCCAGGACATGGGGGGATAGAGAGCCCCATGGAAGCGAGAGACCCCAGCCCCCAGCTTTTCTGACTTTTTTGACACAAGGTCTTCCTATGCACCCCAGGCTGGCCTCAAACTCTTGGCACTTCTCCTGCCTCAGCTTCCTGAGAGCTGGGATTCCAGGTGTCCAGCGCCACACGGACTGAGACCCCTTTACAAGAACAAGTCACAAGGATTTGAAGAGCAGTGACCGAGTGCAGTGTCCAAGGAGAACAGATGGGTGGATACCATAAAGCCCAGCAGAGCCAGAAGGGAGTCTTGGGATTTACAGATGGAGAAACTGAGGCTGGCGCTCAGCCCCCCAGTTTTCTGCTTCCCGGCTGGCAGGCTGTCACCGTCTCCCCACTCCCCGGCGGGGCTCACTCTGGAAGCTATCTCTCCCGCCTGTGTCGGGTCGCTAATGAAGGGCGTCAGCTCCTAATCCTCTAAATTATTGGAATAAACCTCCCCGCGCGCCAGTCCTCATAAGGAAGTCAGACAGCGGGCGACGCCGGCTGCTCTGAATTCCCTGTAATTTCATAAAGCCAGTTCCAGCTGCTTGGAGCGGGGCCTCCATGCGGCCGGGGGCACAGACGCAGGCAGCTGGGGGGGCACAAAGGGAGGGGATGGCGACACATTTCCTAGGGGAGCTGTCTCGGCTGAGCCCAGAGTGCAGGCTGATTTCCAAGGGGGTCTTCAGAGTGAGAGGAGGGAGAGGGGGCTGTGGGGAAGGCAGCGAGGGGGCGTCGCTGGGACCCTCACAGCTGCAGGGCCACAGCCTGGGCAGCCTTCACCCTGTCCCCAAGGACATCAGGCACTGCCCCATCTGCATGACCACTCAGGGTGGGGGTGACAGAGATGAAAGAGCCCCTCAGCCTCATGCCAAAACCCACACCCCACAGGGTCGGCTTGGGCCCTGCTCTTAGGTGTGGCCAGCAGGAAATCACCAGACAGTGAACTTCCGTGACCCCTGCCCTCAGGCTCACCCTGAGGGTCACCCAGCAGAAGCCTGAGGCCCTGGATGCTGTTTCATATCAGCTGCTCCCACCAGGAGCTCCCCTGTACTACATGACAGGCGTGCACCACCACGCCCAGGGCCACACTTGTTTTTAAGCATTTACTATGTGCTCCACGATGGGCAAATGGAGCCCACAACGGCTTTTCCACCACAAGGCCCCGTATGGGACAGCAAACAAGCATGTTAAAGTGAAGGGGAGCAGTGACACCAGGGTGGCGGCGCACGCCTGTCATCCCAGCACTCAGGAGGCTGAGGCAGGAGGACTGCTTAGAGTTGGAGGCCTGGGCTGCACAGTGAGGCCTGTTCCAAGCAAAGAAAACCAAGCAAAGATTAAGGCAGCAAGTGAGTGCTGGCTTGGAGGCCCCAGGGCCAGGGACAGCGCAGAGGCCAGGCCTGTGTGGCGGCCGCACACCTGCAGCCGTGGGAGGGCTGGAGCACGGGCAGCCGTCTGCAAGGCAGGGGGAGGAGGCAAGGGAGTGGGCCTGGCTGCAGCAGCTATCCTTGGCAAAGGGCCAAGGCCAAGGCCAAGGCTGTCCCTCGCCCTCAGCAGCGAACCACGGCGGCCAGCAGGGTGGGGGGAGCCGAGGCCCCGCCTGATCCTCCCTGCCCGGGCCCCAGACCGCGGTGGGGGGAGCAGCACCCTGGGAACCACGTGGCCTTGATCTGGGGCATGTAAACAGGACGGGGGAGCAGGAGGACTGGGGCAGAAGGACGCAGCTGGCCCGAAGGGGTGGGGGGGGGCAGCGCCCGGGGCCCTGGGACCCTGCCAGCTTCGCCTGGACCCAGTCAAGTCGGCTTCTCAAGACCTGAGCCCTGCGGCCCTTGGCCAAGACAAATACGGGGCTGCAGGCTGCTGGTACCTCCCGGGTGGGGCAGCAGGGACAGCGGGACAGGAGGCCTGGCCCACCCTGCACACCCAAGTTCCGTCCTCCCTGCTGCCCCCAGGAGGTTCTGCACCATGCTGGGAGAAAGCCCGGGATGGGCTCCTCCTGACAGACGACAGGGCCAGGCTCTGGCTTGCCCTGTTATCCCAGCACTCGGGAGGCTGAGGCAGGAGAATCACTGAGAGTTCAAAGCCAGCCTGGGCTATGTAGTGAATTCGAGGCCAGCCCGGACTACACAGGGAGACTGTCTCAGAAAGCAAAGGGGAGGGCCAAAGCTCCCAGCCTGGACCTCCACGAACTTCTGCCTCGATTTACCCCTCTGCTGTTAGTGTTTACATCCCCTTCCCCCACAACTTCCATGGAAAGAGGTCAGCAGGTTCGTGGGCCTGAGAATGCTCCAGAGCCCATTCAGGCCCTGTGTGGCCTGGGCTGAAGCCTGATTGCGCTACCCTGTTCGCTGGGTCAGCAGCTGTGGGCCGGCTGCAAGGTACCCTGCTCCCCTATGACCTGGGAGAGACCTGCTTTCTTACAATGTCACGCTCTTCACTGTCTACAAAGCCCTGGCCTCCAGGGCCCCACAAAGCCCCTCTGCTGCATCTGCCTTCTCCTGTGGCCTCCCTGCAGATGTGAGGGGTCTCCATGCTGCACGTGTGTTCTTTTTGCCCAAAAAGCTCTTCCTGCCACTGTCTCCTGTATTTACTCAGTCTCAAGGACTTTTGCCGGCTTTGGGGAACTCCTAGCCACTGTATCAGATGTGAGGTTCTTCTCACTGTTAAAAAATAGCAATGGATCCCATGGAACAGATGGGGTAAAAAAAAAAATAGCAATGGAACACCTAACTGAAAGCATTCCAGATATCAAGGGGTCCACACACGGGTAATAGCAGGGCTGCCCAGCAGCTCCACAAGAGCAGGGCCTGTGTTCCTCTTCTCTGTGGTCCTCTTACTCTTCTCCTCTTGGTTACAAAATGGCTGCCATCACCCCGCAGGCTCACATGATAATGCTGAAAGGCGGGGAGGAACTGAAGGTGTACCAGAAGCTATTCATGCACAGCCATCCCACCTGCTCCCTGCACGTCCCAGCTCTGGAACCCTCGATAGTGTCACTAGAGTCCCCTTTTCTTTTGCAGCGCTGGGATCCAACCTGAGGCCTTGCCCAGGCTGACATTGGTCTGAACCCCTGATTCTCGGATATGACAATCAAGATGTTTTGTCCGCCTTCCAGGACAGCGTGGCAGGGAAAATCTGCAGGAGGAGCGGGCGGGAAGGGCCGAGGTGGAAGGCAGCTGGCGGCCTGGCCTCGACGCTCACAGTGAATCAGGAGACAGAGGCAGGAGGGTCACCAGGGTTCCAGAAGGACCCTTGGGGCCAGTCTAGAAGTCAGTACCTTCAGTGCTGCTCCTGTGAGTACGGTGTGGTTTGGGGACAGTGCCATCCACAGACTCCAGGCCATCAGACCCTGGAAGATGACCGTCCCTGTCTTCACTCAGCGACCACTGTGGAAGGTTATCGAGACCCCTGCCCGAGGACGGACAGGTTGGTGGGGAGGCCCCGGTCCCCAAGCCTTTGAAGTCCTGCCATGGCTGAGAGTTTCGGTGTGAGCACAGGTGACAGCCACTGCCCCCAGGTCTGCTTTGTCCACCTGGGAGGGTGGCACTGGATGGTGTGGACCAGAACTCTGCCTGCCTCAGCTCCCAAGGCAGAGTGCAGGGGCCAGGGTGGCCGAGGGGGCAGCATCCTGGACACCAGGACCCAAAGTGTGAATC